ATCCAATTCTCAATTCTCACAATCTCACTATATTTATATTCTTCTAGTTAAGATTTCATCATAAACAATCAAACAAATGGATCAACGCTCATTTGTTGAGAGCTTGTTCGATACGGGATGTGGGCCACATCATGGCGAATCACCTAGGACGTCACATAGTCAATTTTCAAATGAATTTTTCCGTCTAAATGACCTACCAATACCTGAAGATGTTCACATTCACGGTCAGGGAAGCCACAATCCAATTGATTTGAATGATATTAACGTTCCGAAAACGAAACATGATGATGAAGATGTTGAATTAAACATCCCAGATGCGACACTGAATTCAGTGACCGGTTGGTCACTGAAATTATTTTTTTTATAATTTTCCCCCCTTCACTATAAATACACCTTCTCCCAAAAAAAAATTTCATATCAATTGCTACTCCAACTCTCTCAACTCTTTTTTATTATATCAATTATGAGTTTTTACTCTCTTGTGCTGTAAAATATACAATATCAATTCAATTTTCATAGTTTATTAATTATAATTTCAATTCATCCAATTCTCACAATCTCACTACATTTAGGTAGTGTTTGATTAGATTATTTTCCATGGAAAATGGAATAAGTTTTCCATCTTTTACTCAATTAATGGTGTTTGATACCATTTATTTTCCATGGAATTAGTTTTCTTGCTTTTGTTGCCAAATTGATATTTTTCATCTAATTGAGGAAAATGGTAACTGTAGCAATTTTTTTTTTTGTTGGCAATGGAAAGAAATTCAAAGAATTATTGTAAAAAAAAATATTTTCCTTTAATTAACAATTTTCATGTAAAACAAAGTCAAATGAACACCAAAAATAGATGATTTTCTTAGGTTTTTTGTTTTTTTTTTTTGCAATAGAAACAAATTATATCCTCAATACCAGTAAATTTTTATCCCTTTAATTGACAATTTTCATATAAAACAAAATCAAACGAATATCAAAAAATACTTTTATTTTAACATTTTTCATGTGAAAAATTATACCAATTAAACACAATAAATTGACAATTCTCATGAAAACAATTTTTAGGCAATTCAATTCTCTGTAATTCATTTTCTTTCCGTCCAAATTTCATCTTTGTAATCAAACAGTCCCTTATATTGTTCTAGTTAATATTTCATTATAAACATTCAAACAAATAGATCAATGCTCATATGTTGAGAGCTTGTTCGATACAGGATGTAGGCCACATCATGGCGAATCGCCTAGGACGCCGCAAAATCAATTTTCAAATGAATTTGCCGGTCTAAATGACCTACCGATACCTGAAAATGTTCACATTCACGGTGAGGGAAACCATAATCCAATTGGTTTGGATGATATT